TTTTTGTTGTAAATCCAATTTGGTCCTGGGAGATGGTCTGTGTTGTGGGAGCCTTTTTGCATGACATCAATTTTGTTAAAATCTGCTCTGCCATCGCCTGCCCCAAGGCAGGATATCTCTGCATTCTGCATTTCTTTATCTCTGCATTTTGCATTTCTTTAAGTAACCATTTACTCAACAAGCCAGTCTTTACTGACCTTTTGTTCCTTTTGTAGTTTTCCTGGAATTGCTTTGGGCAAGCATGGTGCTTGGCAACAGGTGCTTCTTGCCCTATATATTGTGTGAATTACCCCTGAATAAAGGAGACTTGATCAGAGCCCTGCCTTGTCTCCATTCCTCATGTCTCTTGTCCCTCCTCATCCTCACTCCCCCTCTAGAGTCCTCGTTGCTCGACCTGTGGGACAGGTCAAGTGGCGCCCAACGTGGGGCTCCAGCATGGGGGATCCAGTGAAGGACACCATTCAAGTGGCCGGCAGAAAGGAAAGCAAAGGAAAAGAAAGTAAAAGAAAAGAGGGAACGACGTGGGAACCTGCTACGTCTGCACCCCTCAGGTAAGTGAACGGCGATTATGGGTCAAGCATTGAGCCAAGATAAAATGTTCGTTGAAGGACTAAAAAAGGCTATCAAGGTACGAGGAGTAAAGGTGAAAATTAAGCATTTGTGTCAGTATTTTGATTATATTAAAGAAGTTTGCCTTTGGTTTCCTACAGAGGGAACTATAGAATAAAAACAATGGAAAATAGTTGGTGATGCTCTTAGAGATTACTATAAGACTTATGGACCCGAGAAGGTCCCAGTAACTGCTTTTTCTTATTGGAATTTAATAGATGAAATTCTATCTCAGAGACAAATGGCGAGGGTATATTACAGAAAGAAAAAGGGGAAATAAAAAAGGGGGGGGAATGAAAATAAAAGTAAAGAATGTGAGGACCTCATGTATAATGAGGAAGAAAAAAACCGAGCCTACTCGGAATAAAATTATGCCTAAAAACCACCCATGAGGGGAGCTGTCCCAAAGATCCCTCCCCGCATGCAACTTGCACCAGAGCTAGATGATATAGAGGCTTTTCCAGTAACAGAAACAGTGGACGCACAAGGACAGGCTTGGCGCCCCCATAGCGGGTTTGATTTTAATTAATAAAGGAGTTAAAGACCGCTATAGCACAATACAGAGCCACAGCCCCATATACTACGGCAATTTTAGAATCAGTAGCCGAGAATTGGCTTACGCCTGGGGATTGGCAGACATTAGCCCGAGCGACACTTGCTGGAGGAGACTATCTCCTATGGAAATCAGAATATGTAGAGAACTGCAGAGACATTGCTAAACGCAACGCATAGGCTGATCTACCAGGCCAAGGGCTGGGAAAAAATAATACGGGTATAACAGGACCCATAGAGCCCTCCCCAAAGACTGATATGGCAGGATTAGGCCATTTTCCATAGGGGCCATCGACACTCCTGTGACCCATGCAGAAAAGCATATGGCTATCTGAGGAGCCGGTGTGGGTTGATCAGTGGCCTCTAACAGCAGAAAAACTGATGGGTGCACAACAGTTGGTACAGGAGCAGCTTGATGCTGGCCACATTGTCCCTAGTAATTCCCCTTGGAACACTCCTATTTTTGTCATTAGAAAGAAATCTGGCAAAAGGCGGCTATTGCAAGACTTAAGAGCTGTAAATAAGACTATGGTACTAATGGGAGCCTTACAACCAGGACTTCCCTCACCTGTTGCCATACCTTTGGGTTTTTTCAAAGACATTGTTGATCTAAAGGATTGTTTTTTCACGATTCCTCTGCATCCAGATGATCAGAGGCGATTTGCATTCAGCTTACCAGCTATAAATTTCAAAGCGCCTATGAAAAGATTCCAATGGCATGTTCTGCCACAGGGAATGGCTAATAGCCCTACCCTATGCCAATCCTTTGTAGCCTCAGCCTTACAATTAGTTAGAGACAATTGGCCAAATATGTACACTATACATTACATGGATGATATCCTCATAGCCGGAAAAGAGGGGAGTGAGGTTTTGAAATGCTATGAGGTGATGCGCATTGCCTTACGAGACAAAGACCTGGAAGTAGCCCCTGACAAGGTCCAACTCGCAGACCTTTATACATATCTTGGTTTTCAAATGTGAGGGTCCCTAATTTCCTCTGAAAAATTAGAACTAAAATTAGACAAGCTTAAAACCCTAAATGACTTTCAAAAATTGCTAGGGGACATTAATTGGCTTATGCCCTATTTAAGAATCAGTAAAGGAGAACTTAAAACCCTGTATGATATATTGCAGGGAGATGCCAACCCTACATCTCCCCGTGAACTTACCTTGGAAGGAAAACAGGCTATATGCAAAGTTGAACAGGCTATCCATTCTCAAGCAACCACCTTTATGGATTACACTAAGCCTTTAAAGTTTATTATTTGTAAGACTGCTCTCTCCCCTACCACTGTTTTCTGAGACAGCACCCTTAATGTGGATTCACTTGCCTGCCACACCTAAAAAGGTCATTGAGCCATATTATCAGGCAGTTTCCAATCTCATTATGATAGGTTGGAAACAAGGAAAATGTTATTTTGGTAAGAAGCCAGATATGATTATACAACCCTATGCCATGGACCAAATTAGCTGGCTCATGCAAAATACTGAATTTTGGCCCATTTCCCTAGCTTCTTATGTGGGGATTCTAGACAATCATCCCTTTGAGAAATGCCTTATAGGTAGAGCTGCTTACACTTAGCTAGACCAAACAGTGTCATTTATGACATCATCTTAATGCTAAAATGCTTCACCTCATGCATCAGATTACTAGGGAACAAGCTAGGCAAATTGTTAAGAACTGCCCCTCATGTGCCACTCATTAGCCAGTCCCCCACCTTGGACTAAACCCAAGGGGACTAATCCTTAATGCGTTATGGCAGATGGATGTTACTCACATCTCTGAATTTGGAAATCTTAAATATGTACATGTTGTCATAGATACCTTTAGTGGATTCATTTATGCTTCCCTCCAAACTGGTGAAGCCACAAAACATGTGATCAGTCACATGCTAACCACATTTACAGTTCTGGGATGCCCACAGCAATTGAAAATCAATAACGGCCCAGGCTATACAAGTTCAGCCTTCTTCCAATTTTGCAAACACCTCAACATTCAACACATAACAGGTATACCTTACAACCCTCAGGGCCAAGGGATTGTAGAGAGAGCACATCTGTCTTTAAAGATCACCATTAATAAAATAAAAAAGGGGGAATGGTACCCCATGAGGGGGTCACCCAGAAATATTCTCTCTCATGCCTTATTTATTCTCAATTTTTAAAATGTGGACACTGATGGGCAATCTGCTGCTAATCGCTTTTGGCATACAGAAACTCAAAAACAATTTGCATCAGTACTATGGAAAGATCCACTAACCAACTCTTAGTATGGCCCAGACCCAGTCCTCATCTGGGGCCGAGGTTCTGTATGCATTTACTCTAAGAAAATGAAATCTGCCAGATGGCTACCAGAGCATTTGGTTAAACAGATTGATCAAGTTAAAGGAATAACAGATAACCATATAGATAACTCCAGGGTCGAAAATTCACTCTGAGAGGCTTTTCCTGTTTTTTTCTTTATTTCAGGAATGGACCGGAAGGCTGAAATCTTACTACTAGGGATACTACTGCATCTTTGCCTGCTCATGGAAGGAGGTTTTGGGCCTCCTCCACACCCTGACGAGCTCCTGAGGGCCTTATTTGGCCCCCCATGCGACTGCCTTACAGAACACTGCTGCTTATAAGAGCTTTTCTTCAATAACCCTCTTTGGAGCAGGCTAAATGGGGTGCTGCCTTATCTTCTCCCTCTGTTGGGCCCCTTACTTGGCCTTTTACTGACTGTGTCACTAGGACCTTTCCTCTTCAATGAGTTTATGGCTTTCATCAAGCAGCAGATAGATGCCATTAAGATGCAACCTGTACAGTTCCATTATCATAGACTTGAAATGGCCGACAGAGAAGCTCACTCTAGCTGTGAGTCAGTAAGCTATGACTATGCCCGAGATGGCAAATAGTGAGTCTCAAAAACCTCGTCACCTTGGTGCGCTGGCCTGGATAGCCAGAGACGGGCAACTGGAACTCACACGCATCGCCAACCACCACCTAAGACAGGAACAAGGCCTTATGCTGCCTTGCTATTCCAATGACGGGTTCGGACAGGTTGGCACCATGTGCAAGTTTCCTGACCTAAGACAGGCACAGTCCCCTCAAGGTATTATTTCGGCCTTAAAAAATTAAAGAAAAGGGGGACCTGTGGGAGCCTTTTTGCATGACATCAATTTTGTTAAAATCTGCTCTGCCATCGCCTGCCCCAAGGCAGGATATCTCTGCATTCTGCATTTCTTTATCTCTGCATTTTGCATTTCTTTAAGTAACCATTTACTCAACAAGCCAGTCTTTACTGACCTTTTGTTCCTTTTGTAGTTTTCCTGGAATTGCTTTGGGCAAGCATGGTGCTTGGCAACAGGTGCTTCTTGCCCTATATATTGTGTGAATTACCCCTGAATAAAGGAGACTTGATCAGAGCCCTGTCTTGTCTCCATTTCTCGTGTCTCTTGTCCCTCCTCATCCTCACTCCCCCTCTAGAGTCCTCGTTGCTCGACCTGCGGGACGGGTCACTGTGTAGCTTCATTCACTCTGCCACCATTTTTTTTTTTTTTGAGATCCTTGTTTTCATGACCTTGATTACTTCATGCCATTCCCTTCTGTCCTGTAGTGTTTCTGTTGAGAAGTCAGCTGAGAGCCTTATGGGGGTTCTTTGGTAGATAACCTGTTGCTTATTTCTTGCTGCCTTTAGGATTCTTTCTGTCTTTAATTTTTGGCATTTCAATTACTATGTATTTTGGTGTGGGCCTGTTTGGGTTCTTCTATCTTGAGGCTTTCTGTGCTTCTGGAACTTGAATGCCTTCTTCCTTCACCAAGTTAGGAATATTTTCTGTCACTATTTCTTCAAATTTAAAAATATGGAGTACTTCATGAATTTCTGTATCATCCTTGTGCAGGGGCCATCCTAATCTCCTCTGTATCATTCCAATTTTAGTGTATGTCCTGCCAAAGTGAGCACTGTGTTATTACTTTTGCGGTGTATTTTCCACAGCCTTAATTTACCTTCAAATGATTCCTTGTTTCAAAGCAGAGAGCTGAGAAGGTGGTTGGGGTCCTGCAGCTTAATGTTCCACTCTGAGAGGAACTTGGTAATGTCCACTTTAAATGCTAAATCACACTGCCACTTGATATTATTGAGCTCCCTGACAGGTTTTCCCTTCATCTCCATGAACTGCTAGACTTCATCCATCAGTTCTTAAAACCTCAAGAACATGTTCCCATGACTCAGTGATGAACATGTTCCTATGGCTCATTGCACTTCACAGTGGTGAACAAGATCACCGTACTCAGAGTCAACATCATTCAGTAACTCCTTAAACTGGCAGCTGTTAAACCTTCTACTTTTAAAATTGATTCATGGCACTACTTTTGATATCACATTGTTGAGCCATGGCAACTGTGCACAAAGACTTTCCTGGTGTATGATGCAGTGGCACATAATTAAATCACGTGGATCAAGACTGAGACAATTAGATTTCAGGTTATACTACAAAGCCACTGTAATCAAAACAGCCTGGTACTGGCACAAGAACAGGCATATAGTCCAGGGAAACAGAACAGAGAACCCAGAAATGGACCCAAGGTAATATGCTCAATTAACATTTGACAAAGGTGGCAAGAGCATACAGTGGAGTAAAGACAGCCTCTTTAATAAATGGTGTTGGGAAAATTGGACAGCTACATGCAAAAAAATGAAACTAGACCATCAACTTACATCATACACAAAAATAAACTCAAAATGGATTAAAAAACTTAAATGTGACTAATGAATCCATAATAATCCTAGAAGAAACTGTAGGAACCAAAATTTCAGACCTCATACACAACAGAATTTTCACTGATACATCACCTAAGGCAACAGAAACAAAGAAAAAATGAACACATGGGACTATATCCAACTCAAAAGCTTCTGCACAGCAAAAGATACAATCATCAAAATGGAAAGGCAACCCACTGTATGGGAGAGCATAATTACCAATGATTTTTCAGATAAGGGGTTAATATCCAATACATATAGAATGCTCAAACAACTCAACAAAAGGAAGACAAAGAACCCAATTAAAAAATGGGCAGAGGAACTAAATAGACACGTCTCCAAACAGGGCATACAAATAGCTAAGAGACATATGAAGCAATGTTCAACATCACTAATCATCAGAGAGATGCAAATTTTTTTTTTTTTTTGTTACAGATATTTTACCTTTTTACCCCATTGGCATCCCCCACCCCACCCCTCCTCCACCCTGTCCCCGGTTTAGTTGTCCATGTCCATTGGTCATGCATACATGCATATAAGTTCTGTGGTTTATCTCTTCCCACACACCCCCACCCCCCATCCCCTCTTCTGAGGGATATCCAGAGAGATGCAAATTAAAACAACAATGAGGTATCACCTCACACCTGTCATAATGGTGGCCATCAACAAATCATCAAACAACAAGGTTGGTGAGAGGGTGGAGAAAAAGGGACTCTAGTACACTGCTGGTGGGAATGCAGACTGGTGCAGCCACTATGAAAAACAATATGGTGTTACCTCAAAAAATTAAAAATTGAACTTCCATTTGACCCAGTGATCCCACTTCTAGGAATATACCTTAAGAAGCCTGAAACACCAATCAGAAAGAATATATGTACCTCCATGTTTGTAGCAGCACTATTTACAATAGCTAAGATCTGGAAACAGCCCAAATGTCCATCAGTAGACAAATGGATAAAAAAGCAGTGGTACATATACACAATGGAGTACTATGCAGCTGTAAGAAAGAAAGATCTCTTATCCTTTGAGATGACATGAAGGGACCTGGAAAATATCATCCTAAGCGAAACAAGCTAAACAGAGAAATACAAGTATCATATACTCTCTCTTATTTGTGGAATATAATGAACATAACAGTCTGAGGAATAGTGTAGTCCCAGAGACGTGGAAGTGGGGTACAGACTGACAATCCCAGAAGAGGGGGTGGTAGGGGAGAGATAAACCACAGAACTTATATGCATGTATGCATGAACAATGGACATGGACAGCAAAGCTGGTGACAGAGCAGGGAGGGATGGAAAGGGGAGAATCAGTGGAGGAAAAAGGAGAAACATCTGTAACAAAAATAAATTAAATAAATAAATAATAAATAAAATATCTGACTTAAAAAAAAAAAAGACTGAGACTATTCAGGTTTTTCTTGACAAATGCCAATTAACCCCTTCTGTGAGCCAACCATGGCTGGAGCTCCATCTGTAGTAAGGCCACTTAATTTTTCAAATGTTAGCTCAACTTTTGTCATTGATAAAATAAGTCTCTCAAACAAGTCCTCACCTCTTGAAATGCCAGTGATAGTAGTTCCTCTCATGTGTCAAACTCTGTAGTTATCCCATGAACAAAAATGGCTAGTTGGGCAGTATTTGTTATGTCCATTGTCTCATCACAAGCCAGAGAGAAAAATTGGAAGTCTCTTGCAGAATCCTTAAGTAATTTTTCAATATCCTGTGCTAAATCAGTAATCTGATCTGAGAGTTCTCCAAGACAAACTAACACTGAAACAATTTTACTTTGTCTGGTGCTAACAACTCTGCAACAGTCACCATGCACTCCTTCAACAAACTCTCCCTCTACATGAGGTCTTAGCTTCTTTTTGATTAGTTGGCTCACCACATAATTCATCTGAATAATGTTGTCTCTGTCACAAAGAGGCCTAGTGAAAGTGGCTTGTGATTCCAAACTCCGCAGAGGAACATTGATTTTACCCAGGCTCTTTTGGCCTCCCAATTCATTGAGTTTAGTGTGTTTTGAGCTGTAATGACGCTCCAGGTTGGCTTTTTTCATTACTGCTAAAGCATTGCCATAAACTAGGTACACAGGTTTGCCTTTGACTTCAACAAAAAATAATAATTTGTCCATTTCTCTTGGAATATCAACACTCTGCATCAACTTTTCTTTGTAGTCGCCATTTGTAGGATGTCACATCACTTAAGTTTTAATAACTATCTAATGTGTGTGTGTCGCCAATGACACAATTATTTTGCTTTGATCACTGTTCTCATTCTACATCTTGAATTTGGAACATATCCAACAATGTTCATATCATCGACTCTTGAGGTCTTTTCTGTGTACTGTAATTTCCTTAATCTTCACCTGAGATTCAGTTTTTGCAAGGATTATTGATTGTGGACATGTGGATAGGTTAGATTGCAGTTATCACCAAGTCAACAACATCATCGTGAATCATCGGAGGCAAGGTCATCAATGTCATGAGGAATCATCTCATTGCATCTTGTCTCATCATCACTGGATCACTGTATGTTTCACCACAGTACTACATGTATACTCCCAGCCTGCCTAGTACTGACTGTCCTCTGAGTCACCACAATACAGGCAGATGCACCAAGAACAGCCTTCAAGAAGCATATGTGTTTGTCTTATCATGTATTTATATGTGTCCTGTCTATCCCATAACAGACATTCCTTGCTTGTCCCTCAAAATTTACATTATTATTATGACACACAATATAAATGTATGTTGCTATGTAAAAAAGCTAATAAATTTATTGAATTTTGAGTCCTTCCTGTGGTTGCCTCGGCAGGGCCAGACAAAATATTTTCACAGGCCTTATATGGCCTATGGGCTGGACATTCCCCATCCGTGTTACATGTTTATGCCAATAGGAAATGCAAGCAAAAAGAATATATAGTCTGCTCCATGTCTTTCTACATCTGTACCTTGATTTTAAAGATAAATATAACAATATGTTCTAGAGATCTCTCACTGCCTATGCTTGAAGAGCCTCTTTGTTCTTTATTGACAGCTGTGCTGTGTTCCTGTGTCTTTTTAACCAGGAGCCTGTGGAAAGGCACTTGGCTTATATCTGCCATTTTGTACCCATACGGGTGTATGTGTAGTAACCTCTCCTGCTTCTGTTACCCAGACCCTCAAGGCCCACAGTGGCTATGTACCAGCCTCAGCTGCTTGAAGAGTTGTCAGGGATGTGTGGCCCCAAATTCTTGGCTTTCCCACCCTGTCATCCTCCATCTGCAGGAGATTCCAGTTCGAGGAAGATTTGACAGGGCCTGGTCCTTCCAGGATGACCCCTTAGATGGGACTCAGTGTGAGTCTTTGTTTCCAGAAGATCAAGCCACAGAAGGCTCAGAGTGGCTACTCCAGTTCCATTCACCCTCTTAGGGGCCATGAGTGTTTTCAGAAAGCCTTGAACAGTTAGGTCCACAAGACGTGGTGAGACTCCAGCCCCATGTGTTGCCCCTGAAACTCTAGGATAAAGATCTGATGTAGGAGTTGATGCTAGAGGCCTAGGCCAATATGGAGAGAGTCACACTAAAGGGGCTCAGGATGTGGACCTACCCATAATGCTGGCTGGCCTGTAGCCTGTCTGGGCACAGATGAGGAGCAAGGTATGGTGCCAGCCCACCTGAGCAAGGATTGGAGGGGGCTTAAAATGACTTCTGACTCCCAGGCCATATCTGAGAATAGAGGTGGGCTTTCTGCCTTGATCCCAAAATAGGCTCTCAGGGTCAGTAGGGCTAAGTACTAGGCCTTTCCCAGTGGCTTCTGGAAGGTCCATGGTTCAAGGCACAGCATCAGAGAAGCCCAGAGCTCACTCAGAGGCCTATTCCATGAGGCACAAGATGAAGGTTGGGGAACTGTCTTAACAAGAAGTAGATGACAGGAATCAGGAGGTCACATAATTTCCGGTTTATGATGACAACAGAAAGCAGAACACCCACACCTTGCTCTGTGTCTTACTTTAAACCTGAAAGTGAGAAGTTTGTCCCAGGTCTGTGATGAGACCGGGACCCCAGGCCCATGTAACTGGCCAAGACTCCTAGTACTTGTGAGAAGAGTCTTGATGTAGTGCATGGAATGAAGATTCAGGCTGTTTGTTTTTAAAATTAATAAAAGGGAAACCCCTTGATAATTGTAGAACTTGGGGATGTCCAGGCTGAAGAGGTCA